CAGTGCTCGGGAATACAAGTAGTCGCACGTCTGCCCGCCCCCCCAGGTCCCCGAGATCTCTCTGGTACAAGCAGCACCTTTTGTTTTTTCCAGACTCTGCTCTGCACTCACTTGTTTGTACCTGTCACCCCGGGTGACAGGAAGCCCCACAGGGCAGGGACCTGCTGGTGTCTAGCTCGAGATTTCATCCCCACTAGGATGTGACATGTGTGCTCGGGTTTGGGTACATTTCAGGCTAAATCAGAGTTGTTCGTTGAGTATGGATTATCGAGCGTTTAGAAAGCCACGGACGGTGTTGTCTCTGTAGGCGTGTCTGTGATTGACTGGCATTTGTCCTTGTGCGTGCTGCACGCAGCAGCCGGTCACCGTGTGTGGACATCGTGGGCGCGCCATGGCCCTGGGAAGAGGCTGTGGCCCAGAGTCTGCAGTGGTATTGCGGAGCTTGCTAGAAACGCAAGTTCTCCGGCCCGAGCCAGACTTGCTGAGTCTGCCTGAGGTGGGCCCGTGGTCTGTGTGGTGACAAGCCCTGGGGTTCCGATAGGAGTCACTCATGCAGGTTCCTGGCCGAGAGGGGCCCGGCCTCCCCGTGGCTGCCGGTGCCGGCTGCGGGGGCACCAGTGCTGCTGTGGTCACTCCCTTTCTCAGAGTCCGCAGCTTCCATCCCCGGTCGCATCGTCTGGCCTCCTGTTGCCCAGGTGGCCGCAGTCCAGGAGGGCAGGAATCAGGGCCCTGCCCTTAGTCAGTGGTGAGCACCCACAGCTGGGGCTGCGTCCAGGGGGCAGAGGGAACCAGCCGTCTGGGAACTGAGCCCCGGGAGGTCCCGCCTGGCGCAGCACGCGCGCTCTGCTGTGTGGGACCCTCCCCGAGGCCGGGAGAGCCCCTACTGCACTTGTCAGGGGCGCCTGGAGAGAGGGCTTCTGCCCACCTGCCCCTCACAGCTCTGGGGACCAGGTCTATGCCGGGCTCCCAGGGCGTTAGGCTCCTGGCTGTGGGCTCCTGCCCCTTGAGGGTGGCACTGTCTGTGGTCCTGAGCTTGGCTGCATGCTGGAGTCACCTGCCGCCTGGGGGTGGGGTGTGACTGCCAGCGCTGCCCCAGGGGACTCTGCCGGGCAGAGATGTTTGGGAAGCTCGGAGGCCCAGACCTAGCTCACGCTCTGACATTTAGGGAGCAACACCGCCATAGTGGTGGAGGGCGGAGCAGGGCTCGGGGGATAAGAAACTGTGTTTGAACCTCAGAGTGAAGACTCCGTCTGCAGGAGCTGGTGAAGAGGGGTTAGAGGCGGGGGCGGGGCGGAGGCTGCACTCCCTGGTGGAGATGATGTCACACATTCCTCGGCGATGTTGGAACTGGGAAAATGCTTGGAAATAGCGATGGCCCAGAGAATGGAACTTTCTCTGAAATGGCGCAGGGCTGGCGGGGGTGGGGATAGTTGGCAGATGAAGGAGTGGAGAGGAAGCAGGGAGGGAGAGAGAGGGGTCGACCCCGCCCACCCAGTGGGGTGCCGGCCAGGTGGAGAGTCCTGGGCCAGGCAGGGACAAGACAGGGCTGGTCAGGGTGCCCTTTCCTCTGCCCTGGGGCTCATGGTTCCTGTGGCCTGACCCTCCCCTTGGGGGACCCCTGGCGGGGAGAGGGCCTCCGAACTCAGTACCAGCCCTGGTTTCTAACTAGAAACCAGGGACAGCAGCCAGATACTGAGTCACAGGCACAACCGAGAACCTCTGCCTGGGCCCTCATTCCTGGGGGGCAGGTTGTCGGGAGCCCCTCCTGACGGGTGGCGACCGCAGCCCACGTGCTCAGGACGAGCCACCTGCAGAGTGACCAGCCTCGTCACACTGTGTTCCCTGGAGGCCCAGCTCGTCCTGTCAGGTGAGCAGGCGGCTTCCATCCTCACCAGGTGGGGGCTCGGGGCACAAAGCCCCCACCCAGAGTCATCAAGCTGCTGTCCCAAGAGGGTCAAGGTGATCACGCTCCGGGGACCACAGGCCTCTCGGCGACTAACGTCACCCCAAGTGCTTCAAGCCGCTGAATGCCACGTGCCAGCCAGCTCTCCCAGCGACTGCCCAGCTGTCAGCACCCCAGCCCAGCACCTCCCTCAGGCCCCATGTGGGTGCTTGGGGCTGTCACCGCAGTGTTGTCAGCCCTGCAGCCGGGGCCACCCAGAGCACCTGAGCGTCCAGCCAGTGATATCCTGCGGGAGCGCAGCCCAGGGCAGGCCTCCCCTCTGCTCTGCCCGCCCTGCCCACCACCTGGCCTCGTCGGGGAACGTAGACTGGCTGCCTCACAGGCAAGCCTGGGACCCCGGCTCCGGGGTAGGACAGTCTGCTCTGCAGGGATGCCACGCCCCCGAGGGAGTCCCTGTGAGGTACACACAGAAGGCAGTGCCATTGTGAGGTCTTTGGTGACAGATTTGAAGAGGGAGATTGAAGAGGCACAGGGCTGGAAGGGTCGGGGCGTCCGGGGGCCACTGGAGCCCGCTGGGAGGGTCACAGGTCCTCCGTGTGACCAGGCCTGAGCCCTGATGGCAACCCGACGGGCAGCGCATCAGCCTGCCTTCCTGAGCCAGGCCCTGGTCAAACAGCCGCCCCCCAGCCATGGCCGGGATGGGGAGGAAAACGGGCAGCGTGAGCCATTTGGGGTGCCCAGGTTGGCATGTGCTCAGATGGAGGGGAGGGGAGGAGGTGCCCGAGCGAGCCAGGGGGCTTCCCTGCAGGAGGTGGGCTTGCGTATGGCCCAAGGGGAGGGAGGATTCAGTCAGGCAGTGAGTGGCGGGGGATGTGCACTTGGCCAGTGGGACCTGGTATGTTGGTGCTCGTGGTGCCCAGGGAGGCATGGCCCTGGCTGGCAGGTGACTTGCTGTATCTCAGAGCACCACTTGGGTGCTGAGGTGGGTTTTTAACATCCCGAATGGTCCTTTGAATGTGGGTGGCTCTGTCTCAGGAGTCATGCTCTGAGGACTTACCTAGGAGGGGACACAGGTGTCACCATGGGCACCTCGAGGTCCTCAGAGGCCCATGGCCCTGGGCACAGGGGTTCCTTCCAGCCCCTGACAGAGCCCTCTGTACCATGGAGGCTGGGAGGGTCCTCGTGGCCCTTGGACTGGGGACAAGCCAGTGTCGACACCCCCCAGTGGAGTTAGCTCCCTGGGCCCTCCTGTGGGACCAGCTCCTCTGGGCCGTGGTGGGCTGGACGCAGTCTGTCACGTGTCCAGTGGGTAGATGAGCTGGCCAGTCATGGCATCTGGACAAGGAGCCACAGGGCGGCCAGCTGTGGGTACTCGAGCTCAGAGAGCTCATAGGGGCGCCTCATACAGTAAAGGTCGCTGTGCTAGACCACGAGCAAGACGAGTGACAGGAGCAGTGACAGGTCTCTGGGACGGAGAGGGCTGACAGTTCCTGAGACGGCGACACCTCATGGGGCATCTGCCGGACGGGCCACTGTGTCCTCACAGCGGTCTCCACCTGAGCGAGCCTCAGTGGGCCTCCCACAGAAAAGCCAGGCAGGGCAAGGAGGCTGGTGTGACCGGGGGGGAGAGGAGTGAAGAACCCACCGCCACACCCAAGGGTCTCTGCACCCAAGGGTCCCTGAGCACAGCTCCCGCCTCGCCTCTCGGGGCCTCTGGCTTGGCGGGAGGCGGGCGGGTGGAGCCGGGTTCCTCCGAGGGCAGCGGGCACATCTCCCGTCCATTTCCCCAGCTCCGGCCTCAGGCTGCTGTGCGACTCCGGGAAGCTCACCAGTGTTGGGCCCCTCCCTGGCACGGCCGCTGTTGGCTGCACTCTAACTCCCGGGCACTGCCAGACTCTCGGTGCTTCCGCCAGGCATCTCCTGCGAGCTCAGCTGAGGTCACATGGAAAATAACCCTGGCCCCGGGCCAGCCCCAGACTGCCCAGCCAGCTTCCCATTGTCCTCCCGCCCCCTCCCACACACACACTGTTTTATCACAGGTCAAACGGCACCGCCTGAGCCCAGGTGTGCTGTGCAGGAAAGTTTGCACCTACCTACGGGGAGGCTTTAGAAGCGGAGAAGCCGGGGACGCCGTGCCCGGTGTGGACGGCACAGCGTGGCAGCCCTTCCAGGTGGAAGCACACCGGGCAGATGCGCCCCACTTCACACCACGGCACACACCAGGATGGCAAATGAGGGAGAGAAAAGGAACCTCAGAAATGCGTGCTGGAACCAGGAGAGGCAGGCAGCCCGGACCGCGACGGTTCTGCGCCTGCCACGCGTGAGATGGTCTGGTCCTGGACTTTGCAGCAGCTGGTGTGAAAGGAGGCATAGGACTAGTTACATAAAGAGGCATGTGGAAACTGAACTTTGGAAAACCGAGTCCTGTTTCAGATCCATTAGGGGAGGGGTGCGAGGGGGACGCCAGGCAGCAGCTGCTCCCTAAATGGGTGGGGGCAGCGTGGCTTCCCAGGCATCCTTGTGTCTGCTGCCCCCCCATATACACACACGACCTCAGGAGTCGTTTTGTGTCCCCCGTTTTGTGTGGCGTGGAGGACAGGGCTCGGCCGTGCTCGGGAGGGGCTGTGGTCTCCGTGTCCTGTCCAGGACGGGCCCCTCCTGGAGGGGAAGTGGGCAGGACAGCAGGGCTGAGTGAATGTCTGAGGGGAGCAGAGGGTCATGGGGACACAGACTGGTGCTCGATCGCTAGGTTGGTGGCAAGCGTCTGAGGAGGGGCAGGGACTAGGTCACGTCTCAGCTTTATGTGTCAACAGCACCGAGCGCCAGGCAACTTCAAGGAGGACGAGGGATGAACAGGCTCCCACATCTGGGGTGAAATGACCGGAGAAAAAGCAAGCAGGGCAGGGAGGCTGGCGAGACAGTGGGAGAGGAGTGGAGAGGCCACAGAGTTAGCGTGAGCTCGGGCTCAGTGCCCCCCTGCCCCCCAGAAGCCCCCCACCAGGAGGGACGAGCCCCTTGGGCACAGGTCAGGGCCACGCGGTTGCACAGACCGTGCCTGCTCCCGGCCAGATCAGTGCCACACAAACATGCATTTGGGTGATTTTAAATTTCTTCTTTATTAAAAAAAGCATTTTTCTGGGTTTTTAAAACTTCTCCAGTACATAATGTTTTCCCGCCCCTTAGCGCTTCCTTCTTGCCTCCTTCACCCCAGCTCCCCACGCCTCTGCCTGCAAGGCCAGGCGGAAACCGAGGCAGCGTCCGGCCCTGGGAGCTGCGGGGCAGAGGGCCGGGCGGAGGGCAGGCACCGGTCAGAAGTTCGTTTGCACAAAAATAGAAACGTGGAGGATGAGCCAGCACATACACGCACGGATTGATCTACAACCCGTATAAAAAAAATAGACCCCGGTCGTCATTTTACATTATACAAAATAATATATATTTTCTGGACAGCACACACCCGCCCGCCCCCGCCCCCGCTCACGCACACGCACGCGCGCGGTGCCACCGCCCCCGCACGTCCGCACGCGCGGCCCGGGCGTCAGTAGGCGAAGATGACGTGGTAGGTGACCTGGTGGCCGTTGTCCCAGGCGTAGAGCAGCCGGTCCTTGGGGTTGTAGTCCACCTGCGTGGCGTGGGCGTACTCGTTCTCGAACAGCAGGCGCGGCACGATCTGCGTGTGCGTGTGCGTGTCGAAGGCGTAGGCGATGCTGGCGTTGCGCCGGCTGCGGCTGTCCACGGCGTACAGCACGCCGCAGATGACGAAGCCGTTGCCGTACAGCTGCCGGCGCAGCCCGGTGCGCCACGTGGCGTCCTTGCGCACGCTCAGGTCGGCCGCGTCCAGCTTGCTCAGCACGATGACCTCCTGGCTGGAGCCCTGCTCGTCCAGCGCCGGGTAGACGAGCCACAGGCCGTTCTCGTCCACGGCGAAGTCCACGTCGGCGCGGCCCTGCCGGCCCCAGGGCGCGGCCGCCTCGTAGGCCGCGTCGTGCAGCGTGGCCCAGGCCGCCACGTAGCGCAGGCGCAGGTCGTACTTGATGATGTCGCGCGTGAAGGCGCGGTTGTAGTAGAAGGCGCCGCCGTGCACCACGTGGCCGGTGCCCGCCCAGCTGTAGGGCAGCTTGTAGGAGTTGCTCCAGCGGCCTGCGGGGCGAGGGGCGACAGCGCGGCTCAGCGCCCCCCTCCCCCGACGCCCACGCCTGCGCGCCCCGGGGAGCCGCCCCAGACACGGTGTGCCCCACCCACGCGAGCTCCAGGCCGGGAAGAGGCGGAGCGCGGGGGTGCCGCCCCAGGGAAGGGCCCGTCGCTCCCGGAGCCGTGGCCGTGGCCGAGGCGGAGGCCCCGCGCACGCACCCTGCCTGAAGTTGTCCAGGTTCCGGAACTCCACCAGGGTGTTGCCGTAGTAGTAGTTGGTCACGTAGATCCGCTCGTCCTTGGCCAGCGCGTCCTTCATCCAGGCCCCTTCGTTCCGCCCGTATGTGTTCTGGGTGGTGGGGCCCGTGATTGTGGAGAGGGTGTCCTTGCACCTTCCTGAGGGGGGCGGAGGGGAGAGCTTGGGGTGACAGAAGCAGCCCCCCTGGCCTCTGCTGGCTCCCCCACTGGAGACTGAACTCCTGGGCCGAGGCCTCTCAGCCCTGGTCCTGCTGCTCCCCGGCCGTCCTGCGCTCGGCTCCAGCCTGATGCCGCCCTGAGTCACTGTCACCACCTCGCTTTGCTCCTGCTGCCTCTGACTTCTCGACCCTCCTGAGCCGTCCCCGAGGACCTCAGCTCTCTCCTTCGCTGACGTCACATCCAGCCCCCGCCATGCCACGAATACACCTTCTTACAGGACATGTCCTTGTCCATCTCCCCACGGCCACCCCTCACACCAGTGCACAAGCCGGCCTTCTGAAACTTGGATGGCGACATGGCAGCATCACAGGTATGACCAGGGGTGAGGGCTTGCAAGTGCGACCAGGAGCTTGGAGTTCCACCAGCTCCTGAGGGGCCCCGAGGGGCTCGGCCCAGGCTGTTTGGGGCCCAGGCCACTCGCGGATACCAGCCCTGACTGGGCAGTGGGCATTCATGCCCCCGAGGCCACCCGCCAGGTCCTAGAGAGCTGTCCTCAGCCTGTGTCCCCACCGCTGCTGCGGGCAGGATGTCAAGGCCCCTTCTGCGAACTGGGGGAGCGGGGAGCTTGCTCTGGCTGTGGGCACCCCCTTCTAAGGTCAGGTCTGTCTTAATGGGACTGAACTCAGCAGTGTCCCCCGTGCTCTTTGGAGTAACCCGGTGCCACCAGGCCAGGTTGGGCTCTGGACCAGGTCGAAAGCCTGCAGTGCTCAATATGCGATATTTTCATTGAATGGGGCCCTGAATGACTCTGACACTGCGCGTGACCACAGGGCACGTGCCCTTCCTGTCTTGCACTGGTGGGTTTTGGAGGAGACAGGAGAGGGAATGGAGGGGACAGTGGGAGAAGCAGAGGGCTCCAGCTCTCACAGCCCTCCCCCTCTGCTGGCGGCTGGGACCAGCACAACGCCCCCCACCTGTCACCAAGGCCGGGGCACAGATGGGCACAGTGAGTAGAATGATTGGTCCCTACAGGCAGGGGCCTACAGCCCAGATTTGGGGTTCTCTAAATTCCAGGCCACCCCATTTCCAGATTGCGCCAATCTGTTGCATCTATTCTGCCCCCCACCCCCCCTATCAGTGATGTAGGAAGGAGGCCAAGCTGGCAGGACTGGGCAGGTGCTGTGCCCACAGTTGCCGGCCTGGGGCAGCCAGGCTATGGCAGTGGGATGGACATGGTTTCGCAGGCAGGCCCCCCATCAGGTACCGTTGGCAGGGTCCTGGCAGCTCTGTGGGGTTTACAGGGTCCTGGTCTGCAGGGGCAAGGGACTCGGGCTCTATAGACACGCAGAACCTACCAGCCAGAGCCCCCTCCCCTGCCTGGCATTCCTGGAGCCGAGGTGAGCCTGCGTGCCCTCCCCAGCGAGGGGCGTTTCTCATGTGCCCCTTCACTGGTGCAGACCCGTGTCTCAGGCACCCCTGCCGCTCTGGGAACCCCACACATGGCCGTGCTGGTCACTCCTGGTGTGACACTTCCTTTCTTGCCCCGACTAATTGTTCTTCCTCCTTTGAGACAGCGAGGTCAGCGTCTTTCCAGAGGGGTCTGTCTGACCCCTTTGACCCCGAGCTGAAGTGACGTGCATGTGTCACGTAGGAGCTTGTGCTCAGTCCTGCCCCATCACCTGGCGAATCTGGATGTCGTTCCCTCTTGGAACCCTCTCTGCGCCTTTCAGAATCAGTCCCGCCTGTCATCCCCTCCACCAGGCCCCTGGCTCCCTGTCCCCACCCCACGTGCCCCAGTGCGTGCCACCCGGCCACCAGGCTCCTGTGTCGGACATGCCTGGAGGGTCCTTACTGCCCCGGGAGCCGGTGAGCTGGAGACCTCGCACATCCGCCACACTTGCCCCGTGCTCGGCCGCCTTGTCACCCCTGCCTCCATCTCGCGTGACAACCATGCAGTGCAGGCTGCAGGGTTCAGGAGTGGGTTCACGACTAGTCTGTTTCTAGGGCCACAGGCCCCTGGTTGTCTCTTTGAGAGCGTTGGGGGCAGGGAAGCTGCCTGTTGAGTGACTCAGGGCGTGGCTGGGACAGATCTTGGTCCCAAGTCTGGGGGCTACGGATACTCCAGCCAGCACTGCCTGTGACAGCAGCCCCGACACGCCATGCGACCGCCAGGCCACCCCAGGCCCCCAGCCCGGCCTCGCCGAGCCGCGGGGATGGTTAAGCCCAGGTGATTTGTGGGAGACATTCGTCCCAGAGGGTGGTGTTTCCTGGGTTCAGTTATGACACGGACTCACTCTGCTGTTGTCATCCTGATTGTCCTCTGCTCTCCACTCCCGCCCGTCCCCACCAGCCCTTCTCATCCACGGCAAGAGCTGCCACCCTGAGCGTCTGGGACTGCTCAGCCTCGGCGGTGTGGCCGCCGCTGTCCCCTGGGGCCTGCTGTTGGGGTGGCCCCTCCCCCTGGTGAACTGGCTCCGTCACTGCCCGCAACTCCCCTCGCCCCTGGCCTGGAGCTAGGTTTTGGCCAAGCACTGTTCAAACAGCCGAAAGTTACCTCTAATGTACCTTTTCCTGGATTCTTTCTGAGGATAATAGTAGACATCTGGGTAGATCACAAAACTGGATTTGGAAACCGTGGGATAGGATGTACCTCTTAAAAGGAGCCCCAGTTAAAACCACATCTCAATAGCCACAGTCAAAACAGCCGGACTCATTAAGCAGCAAACAGGCTTATGGGCAGCCGACCAGGGGCCGTGTCCGTTTCAGCCAAATGACCGTTACTGACCTGATGACGGGGACCTGAGCCCCATCACTGCCCTGCTCCCCTCTCTATCCTGGGCTTTCCCTCAAGAGGCGCCCCTTTTATTTTGGGGGCTGGCAAACGTGCTGCGAGCACGTAACTCAGTCATCGCCACGTGCCCACCCCTGTGGTGGAGCCAAGCGCACAGTCAGATGCCAGTGGCCTGACTAGTGAAGGGAGGCTTGGCTCCACGGGTCCCTAACGTTTTAGAAGGCGGCTTCCCACTCACGTCATCGAACACAGAAACCCTGGACGTTAAAACTGACCACTGGTCAAAGGCGGAACCCCACTTGCCTCTGGAGAAGCCTGACCGAGCCCCTCACTCTCCTTCGCCGCGGTGTCCAGGCTCAGCCCTCTACCTGTGCCGACCCGGAGGCCAGGCCAGGCGCAGTGACTCACCTATGACATTCCGGACGTCATCTTCCTCCTCGGGGCTCAGGGTGGGGCTGGTGGGGGCCGTGCCCTGCCCAGCAGTGGTGTCCTTCCCCAGCCAGCCTGTCGTGGGGGGCACTGGGGCCAAGTGTGCCGTCTCCAGAAACGCGTCCCCGGGAGCCACTGGCGGAGAAGCTGGGGTGGGAGGTGGCTGGGCCGCCGTGTGGGCCACGGTGGTGGCTGGCGCCTGCGGGGCGGGTGTAAGGTCTGCCTCCCCCGGGGGCTCTGGAAGCACTGATGGGGTTGGCGGCGGTGTCGACAGTTGTTCAACCGAGGCAGAGACAGGAGGGGTAGGGACGTGGGGCACCGAGGGAGGGGCCTCTGGCCACGCCGAGGGCAGGGCTGTGATCTCAGCGCCCACATCTGCGGTCACAGCAGCGCTGTGGCGGGTGACACTGGTCAGCAGGTCGTTGTGTCTCAGGAGCTGATCTTCAATCAGCAAATCCACACCGTTGTCGCCGCTGAAAAACTCGTCTTCTGGGAAACAAGCACAGGGCCCGTGTGTGGCTCGGGGACGGCGGCCGTCAGAGGACCAAGAGCTGGCGGATCGATCGGGGCTTGTTCACCAACCGGGCACCTGACTCAGACACGGAGCCCCGCTGGGGTCAGACCGGGGTGGAGAGGGGCGTGGAGGAGGAGCGGGGGGCTCCCAGGGGCCGCTGCCTCACCCCACAGGGACTCGCCAGCAGGGGTTCGCAGCCCTGGGCTTGGAAGCCTGGGAGGGGGTTAGCGCCGCCCGTCCATCTCTCAGCGGAAATTAGGGCGCAGGCACAGTGGGAGCAAAGCAAAGATCCTCGCCTCAGGCGCGTCCGTCTAGAGGTGGAGACAGACAGTGCGCCTGACGGCGCGTGAGGAGGGTCCCGGGAGCTGGGGGAGGGGGGTGCGTGGGCAGCCGGACGCGGAGGCCCGAGGAGGTGAGGGGGCTCGCCGGGCAGCGGGGCGGGCAGAGTGTCCGGGAAACAGCAGCCGTGCGGGGCAGCAAGCGGCCGCCCTGTGAAGGGAGCGGAGGGTGTGATGGGAGAGTGACAGGCGAGGGCAGAGGCCGCGGCGGGCTGGGCGTGTGGGGCGCGGCGCTGTGCTGACGGCCCTTTGTATTCTGAGAAACGGGGTAAAGTGTGGGGTCAGAGAAGGAAAATGCGGAAGCAACGGCTCCCTAGCGAGGACACAGGTCCAGCCGCAGAAGAACTCGCAGGTAAATTGGCACGTTTCATCTGCTCGGCAAAGACGCGTAAAGGGACTGAAAGGCAGCCCCAGGCCGGGAGAGGACCGGCAGCATGTGACGGACAAGGCACTTGCCCGAGAATAGGCAAAACCCCCACAAACCCACGGTGAGAACGAGGACGGACACACGTCACGGATGGGCAGTGGGGTTCTGGTAGCGACTGGGCGGGCCGGGGCGGGGAAGGGGGGCCGGCCTTCTGGGGTGCTGGCAGGGGTGAGGGGGGGTGGCAGAAGCGCGATGGGGGCATCTCTGCCAAGTCAGGAGAGTGGGGAGGGGGTGTGAGTCTCGCTCAGGAGGCCTGCGACTTGTCCCCGCTGAAACCTCAGTTTCCTCGCCTGCCTGGAACACCCTCAGTCCCCCCAGTTCTGCCATGGGGCCTCCACAAGCCCAGAGAAGTCAGGGCCCTGCCCCAGGCCGCTCAGCAAGTGGGGAGGCAGTGCAGCAAGAGCCTGGCTGACGGCATCTCGGGGTCTCAGGTGACGGTGGCGGGGCGGCTCAGCAGTGAGCACACCTCACGGGGCACGGGGTCAGCGGGGCTCCCCCCGCCCCGCCTCTGGGTAGGCGCCGTGACCCGACTCACGCTGCTCGTCTGTGTCGTCGTCCTCGGGGTCCTTGGCTTTGTAGTAGGTGACGCCCCGAATGACGGTGGGCTTGGAGGCTGGCCGGCCCCGCAGGTGGACTTGCCTGTGCAGTGGCCGCAGCGGCTTCAGCACCGCGGGGGGTGCCAGGGGCCCGATGGAGCCAATGTGCTGGGACTCCGTCTCCTCCTGCAAAAGCCGCTCTGCATACTGCTCAGGGGACAAGGGGGCAGGTGACCGTCAGGCCGCGGCCAGGGGATAAGGGAGCAGGTGACTGTCAGAGAGGCCGCGGCCAGGCCACACCAGGGACGGGCTCATCCGGGGACCTGCCTCGGGCCCAGGCAGATCCCACGGGCCTTACATGTGTCACTAATTGAACCTCGTTCCGTCTGTGGAGGAGGAAGCTGAACCACAGAGGGCGCGTGAACGGCCCAAGGCCACGCAGCGGGTCAGTGGCCGCAGTGGGGTGTGAGCCCAGCCAGTCGGGTCCAGAATCCGTGCCTCCCAGAGTGCAGGTCCCCTCTCAACCCTGGCCTAGTGATGCCAGGTGACAGATCTGGTGTCAGTGGCCTCCAGCTGGACATGAAGCCTGGGGACTGAGACAAGCCCACAGAAGCATGACTGTGTCCACTTCCGCCATCAGACGGGACTGCCCACCCGCCACTGCATCCAGCACAAAGCCCCACGTCCCTGGCCTGGCACTTCTGTCCTCCCTCGCCCTCCGCTCTCGTCACGGGGCTCCCGCCTCTTCCCTGTCCTGAGCTGCTGGGCCGTGGCTCAGACTTCTCTGCCCGGACGGTCACGCTGTCTCCCAGACGACTGCTGCTGAAATCTCCCCGCTTGTCCAGGCCGCGGACACACGCCCCACCCTCTCGTTCAGAGCGGCTCTCCTCCCTGCCTCACTGGCCACCCACGTCCCATCCCTGTCTCCTCAGCAGTGGGAAAGTGGTTTGTGGCGGTGCTCAGGGCCCCGCGTTCCGGCCAGTGGGGTAAAGTACACGTCGGTGGAGAGAGCTTTTGGACAAGTTTCTTAAAGAGGGGCTGACTCAGCTGGAAGGCGCGCTCCCTCATGTCTCTGGCCTGAGACATGGCCGGAACTGAGCCACCATCGTGTGACCCCGAGGGGACTCTGAGGATGGAGCTCGCTGGTGCGTTCTTGCTGCTAACCACACCAGCCCTGGACCCGTCCGCCAGAGCCCCGGGAGGAGAGACGGCTGCCCCTCGTGTGCACGGCACTGTCTGGGTCCCACTCCCGGCTGAACACTCCTGGTGGATACAGGTCTGCACGTGCTCGCCGCCCCTCCCCCCGCCTGCCTCCCACGAGCATCATTTAAGGGCGCTGTCTGGACTGTGACCACCTAGCGTGGCACAGACCCCCTCCGTTCATCTCTGATCCCCTGGGGGCGTGGATGTTCCTAGTGTCTGTAACGTTTTGAGTTATATCTCCAGGAGCCGTCTGCATCTGTGACTGGCTCTGAGGTCCTGTCAGATCAAACGATGCCACTTGGAAAGAAAACTTCTGTCCCCAGATGCCCGGTGCCCTGACAGGCAGAGCAGGACCTTTGGGGATCACTGAATGCTAGCTGGCAGGGACCCAGCTACCATGGCCAGCTTTGCACAGGAAGAAGCATGTCAGGCTCCAGGGGTGACCTTTAAAATCTGGCCTGGAGGAAACACGGAGCCCTCTTCCCAACCAGCCTCCGCCCCGAGTCTGCTCTGGTTTCCCTGTGAGAGAGAGTTTATCCAGATGGCACAACAAACATGCGTTCCTGGCACCCAGCTCACAGTGGGGACCAAGTCCTGGAAGGCTGGGGACACCTCTCTGCCAGCGTCCCCTGGCTGGGGCCTGAGAGCCGCCCAGAAGAAACTGGCAGACATGTCCTGGGCACTCCGTCCCCACTCCTGCCCCCTCTCCCATTTCTCGCTGATGGGGTGACCTTGACGAGAGGTACAAGGGCCCCTCGGCTGGTGGTGGTGACACTGCAGCAAGCATTTACGAAGGTCAGACATGTCTCTCTATATTATTTTAACCCCTGCAACGCTGGGCAAGGTCAACACTATACACATTTTACCGATGAGGAGAGAGGATCAGGGTTATGGAGCGATTTGGTTGAAGGGCAGTCGATTTAAATGGCTGGAGGGGCACTTAGGAAGTCACACGGCCATTCCTAGGCCCGAGGCTGCCTGCCTCGGAGCCTGTGCTCTCCCGACGTTCAGTCCTGGTGACCACGGGACTGGCTTGTGCCCCATCCCAAACCTCATCGGCATCCCCTGGGCCACAGGCTGTGGTCTGGCTGCTGCCCAGCAGGCCTGGGGACCTCTCATCTCCCGCTGGAAAGAGCTGACAGGAGGCCCCAGCCCTTGACCCAGACGCCATGTAATTGCTGGACCCTGGTGTCCCTCTGCTTGCCACGGCGGGTTGTCATTTCTTCATGGCAAACCCCAGGAGCTGTCTTTAGTCCCAGGCTCTCAGGGACGGGCAGGGCTGCAGCTCTGCCTCCAGCCAAGGAGACGGGGGAGGGCTGCGCCCAGGCTGTGGGGCGGCAGCGGCCCCACGAGCTTGGGTCCTCTGTTAGTCCAGGGGTCCATTGTATGACATCCACTCCTGGCTCCCGATGTCCCCACTCCCAGCCTGTCCCCAGAGCCCCTCGCCAACCCAGGCAAGGACCTTCTGCGGGGAGGCCTCCAGCAGCTGCCACCCACTAATCTGAGAATCCCCGATACCACCTATAAGAACGCCGAAAATACCAACCAAACCTAGACACCCCTTTTGCCCCGTCAGCATGGGGTTCACTCAAGGGACAGAGGGATGACAGGGACGGGAAGAGCCCAGCCTTGGGCCTGCGCTGCTCCCCCCCAACCCCAGCCCCTCCGTGGGCCTGGCTGCACCTCCCTCCCTGGTTGGAGTGATTCTGCCAACTTCAGCAGTGTGACGCCGGGGACCTCAGCGGGGACGGGCTTTGCTGAGCAAGGAGAACAAGAGTTTGGTGTGTTTGGTTTGGTTTGCTGTTCGCCCTCGGAAATCTGAGCTGGGTTCCTGAACATACCACATAATGTGTCATTGAGACAGGGTGACTCTCAAGCCAGAGGGCAGGGAGCACCAGACGCCACTGGGCAGGGGGCCGCTGGGCCCCCGTGTGATGCGTGGGGCCTCCAGGTCCCCTGCAGCCTGAGTGTCCTTGGCTCTTCCGCGGTGAGCTCAGCCCTGCTCTGGGATGGCCCACCAGGCAGACTGAACACATGCCCAGTAGCCAGCACGTGGGGACACCCACCATGGGAACAAAATCTTTGAAAGGACATGATATTCCCCCAAAGCATCAAAGTAACCCACGGGCGAGGCCAGACAGTGATTGGCCGTCCTTGTGCGGAGTTTCTGGCTGGGGACTGGTTTGCTGGGGCAGATGCTGGCACCACACTGTTTTCAGCCGACGGGTCTGCTGTCCTGCCTCGGGGTCCCAGCGACTCCCCAGACCGCAGCGCTGCCGCCTGCAGAGCGTGTCTGCCCAAGACCAGGCCCACGTGACCCGGCTTCTTCCTCGGTGACCGAGGCCGGAGCCCCACGGGCAATGCCCCAGCCCTTTCCACAGCTCGCGCGCAGCAGCTCCGCGGCCCTGGCTGCCCCTGCCCCACGAGCCCCTGCACGCAGCCCCAGGCCCAGGGGACCCCTGGCGGCCCACCTGGACTCCGCCCACCGCGCCCCGTGGGGCCTCCCCACTGCTGCCCCCTGGTGGCCGGGCGCCCTGTCACTGCTTCCTGCACCCCCGCGCGGGGACCCGCGTTCGTTCAAGTCCTGCCACCAAGCGTACCCGTTTCCTCCACTCTTGGGTTAGCTCCCAAATTCACGCCTGATTCTTGGGCATTGATTTAGGGGGTAACCCAACAGGTTAATTGGTAACACGCTGAACCGTCGGCGCATAAACGCAGCTCAGTAATTGGAGCCCCAGGAGGCGGGCGCCAAATGGGGAGGTGCTTTGAAGCAAGTGGGTTTTTTGGCAACGCTCCCATCCCATGAGGCACTGGCCATGGTGACGTCGTGCTCGGGACAGCCGGGTTCGGGAGTCCCTGCCACCGGGTGTTCGGGTGTCCCTGCAGCACAAGGGCCGCCGTGAGCATGCCTGGGTCTGTCCCCTCATCTGCAAAGTGAGGGTGCCGGCCTCGGCCGGCCTGCTTTCCAGACCCTGGTGACGTCCGCGTGGGACAGGGGTGACAGTGTGCAGTGCGTGGCAAAGTCCCTGTAAACAGGGAGGCCACGTGACTTTCCTTCCCAGACTGGGGCACTTTTGAGGGCGGAAGGCGCTGTGAGTAATTCTGCTGGGACGGCCCCAGACAAGTGACTGGGGGTGCTCACTAAGGCGGGACGTGGGGTCCTGGCCTCACCTGCTCCCCGAACCCCGCCGGGCCTCGGGGTTCGGTAAAGGGGGTCAGCCTCACCCCATGCGACCCCATGTGGCCCGTGGAGGTGTCCTAGGAACGAGGGGGGCCTGGCCGGGCCAGGGAGGGGGCGAGCGCCGCGCGGGGCTGGGCTGTACCTCGGGGCGCGTGTAGGCGGCCGCCGCGTCCCTCTGCAGGGCCGCTCGCAGGTCCGGGGCGCTGTCCGGGCCGGTGCGGGAGCAGTTCTCCCGGCTTCGCTTGTTCATCTCAGTTCGAATTTCTTCCACGTCCTCTTTGATTTGCTCGTTTTCCTTGGTGAGGTTTTTAGAAACTTCCTGAGAAGAGAAAAAAAACGTAAGAGGATCCAGTAAGGGCTCTGAAGACAAGTGGAAGGGCCGGGCCTAGAAGCGAGGGGTGTGCTGAGGATGGGCCCCGGGCCCCAGGCGCCAGGTCCTCTCTGGGCAGCGCGGTCCAGTGTGTCCCTCTGCTGGAAGTACTGCCCACCACCTCGCTTCCCCAGCAACCTGTGTGTCTCAGAGGAGGGCTCTGGTCCTGGGGCGGGGGGCAGGACAGCTGTCACAGGGGAGGGCCACATGGCAGAAGGGTGATCGGCCACGTCCTGTCCTGTGAGTGGTCTCTGTGAGGGTTCCTGAGCTCAGCAGGGAGGGCATGGACTTGGGCGCCAGAAGCAGCGTCCTGCACAAGAGGAAGGCCATGTGGGGTCCAGCGGCCGGCTCAGCAGCGCCATTTCTCGAGATAATTTTGAGATCCAACATTGTCTGGCGCTGGCCCTGTCCTAGGGTTTCCATGAGCATCTGACTTTACGTGCCATGCTCCGTGTTGGTCCTGTTTAGGAGGGCGGTGGGCAGCAGTGAGGTAAGGGGCAGGTGCCTCTGCGTCCCATCTTTAGTAGACAGACAGGAAGTGGAGACGCTCGTAGGCTGCCAGGCACAGCCCACAGCCTGCTAGGATGCTGCGATGTCCTGTGTCCTAGAGGGGAACCCCGGTGGCTCAGAGCTGGGGGTATGCACACGTCCAGGCCAACGGTGACACTGGACGCTGTGGTTCCGGTGCCCAGAGAGCTCCCTCGGTCTTGTTAGAACAGTGATTCCGGGCTCCAGAACCGCTGGCCGTGCCACTACATCGTCCTGGCGGGTTGGGTATGTCCCATGGCCTTAGGCCACGCCAGCCTCTCCAGGTCGCAGAGTTAACTGTGAGAACTGAAGCCCCTGACAGTGACGTCGTGTCTCAGGAAGGCCCAGAATGAGTGGTGTTTCTGTGTGCGGTCAATCCTGACAGGTGTTCTCAGGGCTGGCCGGCCAAGTGCCAGCCTTAGGAGAGTGGATTCTGGGGACACAGCCTGGCTCACAGCCCAGTGCTGCTGTTGAAGATCTGTGACCTTGGTGCCTCACTGTGCCCACGTGTGAAATGGGGACAATACCAGCACCCTCCCTGTGGGAAGTTACGAGGAGTAAAGGGGCTAAGGTGAGTGGATATGCAGGGGACAGGCTAAGTGGCTGGGAGTTTTCACAGGAAGTGACAGCTGGAATGGACCCCAGAACTCAAGCCTCACCTTTCATTCCACAGATGAGGAAACTGAGGCCCAGAGTAAGGCTGTGACTTGCTCACGATCATTTAGAACAACTGGCAGAGCTGAGCCTGCACCCAGCCCCTGGCCTGGGGTTCCTGAGTGCACTTGCTGGGTGTCTGTCTCTCAAGCAGCAGCCCGGTCATCAAAGGGGACAGGGTATGCATGTCAAAGGAGTGGAGACATTGGAGCCCTGCAAAGCCAGCCTGCCACTCAGAGTGTGGTCCGAGGCCAGGAGCTGGCCAGAGATCAGGAGCTCGGACCCCACCCAGGCCTGCTGGGGAGCCGCCTTAACAAGACCCCACGTGAGCCCTCAGGTGGTTTGCATCCGTGGGGCAGGGCAGCAGATGAGCAGGAAGTGGGTGTGGCTTCTGGGGAGGCTGAGGGAGCATGAGAGTTGGCTTTACAGGGGCCAGGGCTTTCTGGGGCCCCGGGGTACCCAGCGTTTCTGTGGGTCCGTGAGCAGCTGCCGAGAGCCGTGCCCCAGCGTTCCCCAGGTTTGAAGCGTTCCTTCGCCACTAATGCATTCAGTTTAGCAGCCAATTTAAAGCCAGGCCAAGGAGGACCCTGCTCTGGTGACGACCACCCTCAGCAAGAAGTAAGTGAAGGGCCGGCCAAGTGGCTCAATGGTTAAGAGCTCACTTGGGACGCCAGAGGGCCCTGGTTTGGATCCCACATGAGGGCCAGTGACACTGCCCTCCACAGCTAAGATGCTGAACAACAGCTCAACCTGGAGCTGGGCTGCTGTGAGTCGCTGGTGACAGCGTAGGCTGCAGCCCCTGCTGCAGTGGGTTGCCATGGGCTACTGTGTGTAGCCAGCAGCCAGCGTGAGCGGCCAGCAGCCGCCGTGAGTGGCCGTCCAGAAGCCGGCGACTGATCTGCCTCGCCCGGGAAGAGCGCAATGATGGTGCCAACTTGGGCCAGTGAAGCGACGTCCTCCACAACTAGACTGATGAACCAAAGGACAGCAACCTGTGTGTTCCCCTTTCCCCAATTCCTCAATAAAAATCTTTAAAAAAATAATAATAATAAAAAAAAAAGCAAGAGGAAAGACAAGGCAAGTGCTGTGGAGGAGGTAAGTCGGGCCGCGGGACGGGGGCAGGTGCTGGCCTCTCAGCTCGGGGGGACTCGGTGTGTCCATCCCGCTGCCCTGCAGACAGGCCTGCGCTCTGGACGACCCAGTGGCCTGGCCTAAATAGCCTTATTACCCGAACAAGGTGCACCCAGTTCCTGAGCAGCGTGAAGGAGTTGGTGCCGGCTGCCAGGCCCCCGGTGCGGGCTGCTCACATAATCTGAGACCCTCTCCGGGTTGCTGAGAAGCCAGTGCTCTGGGTTTGCAGAGAGGAGGGCAGGAGGCAGGCCCGGCCGAGGGCCCAGGGGACAGCAGAGCCCCTGGGCTGACACCAGGCTGGCAGGGCATCACCTGCCCGGCCGCCGTGTGTCCCTGTCCTCAGGCCCCACTCACCCTCATCCCGGGGACTAGCCTCGCAGGGACCCCCTCACACCGAGGGCCTTTGCAAGCACTTCTCAGGGGCACAGAGGGTGCCACCCCCACCGGGCACTCTCCACCGGGCACAAGGGCAAATCCTGTGACCTCGCGCCTCAGGCTCGGCCCAGGACAGCTGCCGCGCTGGCGCTGTGGTGGGAAGGGCGAGTGAGCATGGAGGAGGGAAAGGGACGGGGCAGCCACGGCCGTTGGAGACCTGGGGACCCTATCGTGAGTCCCTGTGTGAGGCGGGGCCAGGAGACCGAGAGGCGCTCATGGAGCAGGCGTCATGCGCTGGAGGGGCCTGAGCTGGGCATGGGGGCGCTGAGAGGCAGCCCGCGGTGCCAGATAGGGACACCAGAGGGGTCTCTGTGTGGGGGGCTGGGCATCGGAGGCGGAGGCACAGCTTGAATGAGCCAGCGGGGTCAGGTGGGTGAAGCTGTCCCCCGGGTCCAGACTGCGTCTGCACCGCATCCAGCTGCTGTGCGTGCCTGGGTGAGGTTAAGCCGGAGGCATTGGGACCTGGGAAAGGTGACCAGGGTACAGAGCTCAGCAGTCCTCAGGGATCTTGTTTGTCCAGCCAGAGCAAGGGTGGGGTGTGGGGGGACGTGTTGCTCAGAGACGCCCAGACAGGAGGAGACCATGCTAGGCACAGCTGGGCCAAACCACAGCCCCAGCCATGTGGCAGGTGTGGCCCCACATGACCCACCAGTGGAGATGGCAGGCCTGTGGGCAGAGGGAACAGACTTCCTGTGAGAGTGACACGAGCAAGTGTGGGGTCACTGGACCCCAGTGGGAGGGCTGGAGTCTAGGCAGCGCGCCTTGCCCGTCCCTCCTCCGAGCCCTCCAGGACACAACGAGGACCAGGTGGCTGGGGACAGCCGCCCCCGCTGACAGCTGTCTCCAGCTGGAAGCAGCTGGCGCTTAGGCAATAGAACAGGCTGACAGGACAAACCACAGCTGACAGAGACAGGCTGGCCTGGGTGTGGGGGCTGCCAGTTGCCATGTTCAATTGCTCCCCCACCAAATAGCCGCTGAGATCTAGCCCATATCAGTGCTGGCTGAGACCTGGGCCACGAGGTGATGTAGCCCCAGGCCTCCGGTGATGAAGGTCCCCGGAACGGGACCCACCCCTCTGACTGCAGCCACGTTGCTGTATGGTTGGTTCTGTATGGGAAAAGAAGGTATTTACACTTACATTTCACTGACTCCCTTTGTCGTCAGTAATTTACCTGCTTTTGGATGAGTGCTTCACGTACATTTTTTCTTTCCAACGAGTAGAATGAGTTAAGTCTACTCAAGACATGTGCTTTCTGAAAAAAATATTGTGATACATGTTTGGGCTCGATCAAGAGAAAGACGTGGAAAGCCCGCCTCGCCCTTACCTCCTCCAGCTTGTCCACCCGCCCCACCAGCCTGGTGGTGACGGAGTGCAGCTTCAGAAGGTCCAGACCGTAGAACGCGCCTTCCAGCATGTCGATGACGGTGGAGAGCTACGGGACAAGGGCAGCGTTAGTCCAGGGCCAGCGACAGGCCGCGCGGGGAGGCCAGCGGCCAGGGCCTGAGCAGCGGCCCTCGGAGTCTGGCGCGCTCGTAGGTAACGCGACGGAGCAGGTGTATTCACCTACGGGGTGAGCAAGTGGGGGAACCTGCGAGAACAATGGAATTGTTTACACCGCGTATTAAACCTGTCCCTTGCATGCACGTCCGTCTTTCCCCCTGGACTGTGAGTTCCTTGAAAGCAGCGCCCATGTCGTCCTTATCTTGTCAGCATCGCACCTGCCCGCAGCATGTGATCTCTCAGTGCTCAACAAAGTGGCTTGTGAGCATCAACACCAGGTGCAAATGCTTCCAAACACTCAGCTCTATTATCTACAGGAGGCCCCGGGAGACGCCATGTTTTTCCTTAGCAGCAAAAGCTAAACTGATCCCCGGGTAAAGGAGTCCAGTGACCCATGTCTCTGGCGGCATGCTGCCTCGACACCAGGCCTTCTCAGTTCTTCCAGGACTGTGCTTCCTGCCAGTACGGAGCCACTGGGAGGAAGGTGGCAGAGGCTGTGGTGGCGTCTGGGGCTTGCTGGGTGCAGACACACTGTGCACAGCGGACAGAGGCCGAGACAGCCTCCTGCCAAGGGCCTGTCCCCGGAACAGTGTGCTGGGCACACCTGCTTCTCTGCTCCCCCCACGCTCCCGCCTTGCTGCCAGATGGAGAACCCACGTGTTTGGAAGGTCTCCTCCCCTGCCAGGCGGAAGCAGCTGAACCCTGGGTAGGGGACGAAAGGGTGTCTGGCCAACATGCAGTGGACAATGCTCTGTTTCCTAGGACGCGGTCCTGCCTGCCTGTTCTAGGTGCCCCCACGGGTCCGACCCTGTGACCTTGGTTCAGACAGTAGCTTCAGGGCAGATCCGCATCCCTGGGGAAGGCGGAGCCCCGGACACGCAGTGTCCAGTTAAACGCCGGTCTGCGGAAAGGGGTGTCGGTGACCATCAGTGGCCGAGGGAGTGCCAGGCGCCAGCACAGCAGCAGCACCTGCCTCGGTCATTTCATGGAACTTGTGTCTGTTGAGCCCCAAGCCTGTGTCAGGCGCTGTGTCTGGAGGGTACTGGACACTTGTCACCTCAGAGCAGCACACAGGTGGATGTGACTACTGCCACCTTCAGCCAACAGGACTGAGGCCAGGAAGTTAAATATGCAGCAAGCAGTGCAAAGCTCGATTAGAACCCCAGTCTGTCTGACTCCCAAACCAAGCTTGTCCCAGTGCCCCACACTGCATGGGAGGGGACACCAAGGCTCAGACGAGGCCCCGGCCACCAGTGTGGCTGCCCTGGGATGGCCCAAGCCTTCCCACATGTGACAACTGGACTCCAGGCCCTGCCTTCCCGGACTGAGCAGCTCCCTGTTCTGAGTCTGTCACCTCATTGGTGCATGCGGGGCCCTAGTTCTGAGAGGGGCAGCCCCCAGGCCCATAAAGAGAGGTGGGCGCACTCTCGGCTTCTCCCTCACACATCGGGACCGAAGGTGACCCGTCTGTGAGATCATCAGCCAGGGACCACATGCAGCCTGAGGGCCTGGGGCTGACGTCCTCTAAAGGCTACAGCAGGTCCACCTGCTCCAGGCCTGCGACCCCGGCCCTGTTACCCCGCGGGTCCCCGGGTGGCCCTCTCGCATGGCGTTGCCCCCTCACCCCAGGTCCCACCTTCAGGTCTCGGCTGTCGGCTTCCCGGAGCTTCTGGAGCCTGAAGTCCCCCTCGCAGGGGTTGAGGGCGGACGGCGGAGCAATGCAGGCACACTTGCAGGATGGGCCGGAGGTGACCGTCTCCACCGTGTAGAAGTCCTCCTTCCTGGCGGCTCCCTCGTTGACCCTCTGGCAGGCGTCTCGGCCCAGCGGCCTCACCACACACTTGCACTGGCAGTTTGAGCCCTCAGACACGGCCTTGACCTTGTCATAGTCTCCCAGCAGCTAGACAGACAGACAGACAGAAGGGTGGACGTGTGAACATCGGCCCCAGAGGGAAGCTCTCACTCACTCTGTCAACCCTCAGACGACTCTGCCTTCAGGCCGCCGCAGGGCAGTCTGCCGGCTGTGACATTCCCGAAGGACTCTTGTCTGGGAAGCTGTGCACCCCCATCATCCTTCCCAGGGTCCTACCCACGCTGGCACCCAGGCATAGACTAACGGAGAGAAAGGTGCCCCAGCCGGGCACCAGGGGACTTCTCGGAGGAGAAGGTGTTGGGTCTGCGTCTTGAAGGGGGTTAGATTTGGAGAAAGGGAGCTGGGGGCACACAGGCCCCAAAGTCGGGAAGGATCACTCAGCTTGAGGAGCCACTTGGCTCCTTGAGAAGCTTCTGAACCCGAACCCCAGGCCCAGGCCAGGAGTGCCACCTGGCAGCACGTGCTGCCTATCCTCCTGTGCGCTGGCCCCCAGCCTCCCCAGGCAGGACACACCGCCAGCAGGCTTCCTGGGGACTGGACACTGGCCGCTTCCTCCTGTCCGACAGACCCTGACCCACCCAAAGTCAGGCTCCATTCTCAGCACGGAGACAGTTTCCTCCGTCCGACTCACGGCCTGGCAGGCAGGTACTGAGCATGTTGCCGTGGAAACGTCCCGGGGATGCTGTCTGGGGGGAAGAAGGCTTGTGTTTTCCTTGCAAAGGTTGGGTTTCTTCTAACACTAATGGTGGTTTTAGGGCTGTTGTCAAACACAGAATGGCTCACTGGACGAAGGTGTAGTAGTTCAGGGTGACTGACATGGCTGTCTGCCCCCCAAAGCTCGCCCTGAATCCCACCTGGCCTGCGCCAAGGCTCGGCTCTGGGAAGCTCTTGCTGATGGTCCTGCAGCCCCGATGGAGGGGTTTCTGTCTTTCCGATTTAGGGGTCAGTGCAAGGTTGCAGGTGGCCACAGGGTGTGCCTTGGCGTACTTATCACGGGATGGCCGAGGAGACTGATGGTTGATAAGTGCTGAGGTGGAGCCGGAAGGGGCCCCCGTGCGAGGGTGGAGGTGCCAGCAACATAGCACTGCGGGGCCCTTGTGGGGGACCTTGCTCAGCCGTCCCCCATCACACATCATCGCGCCGGCTCTAGGGAGCATAAGGGACTGTCCCTGATAGTCTTGGGGTCTGGGCAGAAGCTCGTCAGAAAGCCGGGCTCTGCCCACCCCCAGCTCCAGCTGTCCCAAGCCGGTGTCCTTAGGGAATAGGGCACGCGAGGATTGTCAGATAAACAAGCCCTTTGTAAAGGGACACTTTACAGAGCCGTCCCTGTCAGCTGTCACTCACCCCCTACTGACCATCTGCCCGGAGGTGGGCCTGCATGCTCACTCTTCCTCCCGTCACGGCATCTGGTCACCAGTCCCTCTGGGTTGGGGTCACTGCACGTTCACCCCATGCTTCTGGGTGTCTCACTGCTGCCACGAGCCTCTCCCCCTGGCTTGCACCATCCCCCTGCCCCTCGGCCTGTCTGCGTCCACGTCCCATTTTGACAGACAGCCACACACACAAGCGATGGCTCTACTTTCCACAGCTTTGAGCCAAGTCTTTGAGTGTTTCCCCTTTCTTCTCTGCTTTCTCCCGACTCCGTCACCTGGGACGACCCTGGGACTGAGAGGACACTCACATCCCTTCCCCTAAGAAAACAATCCGATAAGTGGAAACCAGTGCCCTTCCCTCAGGCGCTGTCAGCGCGGAGCCACCTGTGCTCTCGCCCCGACCCGGAGGGCGCGGACCGCAGCCTACCTGAGACAGCACGTTCTCCTGGTTGTCCGCCTCATTCTGCAGGGTCTCGTCCTCCGTGGGAGCGCCCGTCTGCACGCCCAGGGGCTCGCTGGTCCCTTCGGGGTCAAGGCCTGACACGCAGCCGGGAGCCACACCCAGAGCGAGGCACAGAACCAGCAGCAGAAGCCTGGCCATGAGGGCGCTCGGAGCGGGCGCTCGGCCCCTGGCAGAACGGCAGGGGTCAGTCCTGGCCACGACTGAGGCCGGAGGGCGTCTCAGCCGGAGCCCGAGGGGGGCTGCTCAGAACGCCTTCTCCAGCGGGGTGCGGCCGAGCGAGGCAGGAGGGTGCGCCCCGGACACCCTGGTCATCTCCTTCCCGGCGTGAGCAGCCCTGGCTGTGGGCCGGCGGGAGGAGGAGGTGGCACGGCCGCCGAGCGCGTTGTCCTCCACAGAGGGCTCCGGTGGAAGGAGGGGTCCGGCAGAAGCGGCGGCGCGCGTCGGGCGGGCGGGTGGCGGGGCGCCTGGGGCCGCCCAGGGAGCCTGGGGCTCAGGGCGCACGGGACGGGCGCGGGCTGCTGGGCGCGGGCGCGGCGGAGCGCTTGCAGGGGGAGGGCGGAGCCTCTATTGTGCCGGCCTCGGAGGTGCAGCCAGTGACAGCGCGGAGGAGGAGGGAGGGGAAGGGGGCGGGGCCGGGGAGGCCCGAGAGGCGCCGCCCCGCCCCACCCCCGCCCCAGGGCAGTGCGCGCCCGCGGGGTGGCCGGGAAAGGGCGCCCCTTTCCCTCTTCTGACTGCACGGAAAGAAAGGAGAGAAGTGACCCCGAGTCGGGTCCCTGAGCTTTGGGGCTCCCTGTGCCCGCTGTGGCGGAGAGGAGCGAGTTTCCTGCACAGCAGGCGGGCCGGAGCCGCTGCGTGCTGGGCGCCCCGGTGCACTGACCTGGGAGGGACGGAGCCTGTGCTCTAGGCGTCTCCCCAACTCGGCCCGCAGCTTTGAACTTGGCGCCTCGGTGGCTTTCTGGCCAGCCCCGCTCTGGAACCTGGGAACACCTCCACCCAGAGGACAGCTGCTGAACTCCCAGCTGGAGTGCTCCCCAAGTTGTGTGACAGTGAGTACAAAGACAGTGGCTTTGTCAGTAAATCTGTGACACTCCGCGTGTCCCCGTGGGTGATTTCTGCCTTCGCGGTTTGTGACGTATCTCACTCAGGGGCTGTGTGATCTCCAAGAAGACGCCCATTTTCAACAGTGTGACTGTTACCATGTCCCTTAACTAGTGTCCCTTTTATAAACCTACCGCGAAGATTAACAGTGTGTGAATTTAAGGGAAGACTCTGTGCCTTTGGGGACAACTGTCACCCTGGAAATACTGAACAGAGCCAGACCCCTTCAAAGATATGAAAGGTATTATTACAGGTCCTTGGGAAATTCAAACACCTGCCCTCTTATGCTAAAAAATAAGGGATGCGATGACCTAAACTAAGGAGGCCTCCGCTCAAATAAATGATCACAATTGACAGGAATATAATAATAACCCTTATTAATGTATTTTAATGTTTTTTTTTTAATCCTAGCTTATGGACAAAAATCTAAGATCTGGGTGTCTGGACTTATGGAAATGTCACACACACACACACACACACACACACACACACACGCCTCCATGTAAGCTATCGAATCTTTTCTGAAACTAGATGGGAGTAAACATCTGTAAAATATAATGTTAGATTCAATTAGGTGTTGAATGTTGGCTAAGTGAAAGCCACATGCTGGTTGCCAGACGTTTACTGGGAAGATGAGATAGCCCATGTCCTCCAGGAGGGGTGGGCTGGGCGTGAACAGTCAGCAGAATGAGTTCTCAAGCTGTAGGGCAGAGTAAGAGCATTTCCCAAGGGGCGTGAAGGAGGGGTAGGTCACTTCTAGTTGAATCTTGAGATTGTGGATCTTGAGAAGGAATATACCTGCCAAGGGTGATCCTTGTGGTTATGACTGGGCCCAAATTCATGAGGGAAGTCTAGCAGCCACCGCTGACAGAGGCTTCTCACACAGGCTGGCATTTCAGGGAGAAGCCCAAGACTGACCTGCCAGCCTGCACACTGAGCCAACTCCTATAAAAGAATTCCTGGAGTTGTATTTTGACCAATGGGCTGAGACCTTCTCATCCAATCAGAGCTGCACAGCTATATTCTCATTTGCATCTTTAGCAACCAATCAGAATGTGCATTTCTGACCAATCAAGACGGTGCTATTGGGACCAATCAGATGGTGCAAATTTGGTTTCTTAATTTGCATAAAAATGGACCAATCAGGGACCAGGGCAAGCACTTACTCTATATAAGTAGGCCTCCCCTTTGTCTCAGGGGAACGCACTTTCGGTTTTCTCTGGAGGTTGTGTTTCCCCAGCAAACTGTTTACCTGAATAAAGTCACTCCTTTTACTGCTCCTCAGATTGGGGACACCTGTTGGCAATGGATTGGTGGCAGCGACCTTTTGTTGACAATCCATATAGTCTCTCTCCATGATACTTTTACCCATTCAACGAGGTGCGCAGATGTTGTGGACCCTGAGAAAGAAGACACCTACCAAGAAGAGGCTCTGGTGGCTAACTGAGCTCAAATTTAAAAGCGGAGCATAGCTGCTGTTTCTAAACAGAGGCCTCTTATGCGAGCCATGTCCCTGCCATCTGAGCCAGCCCTTATAAAGGAGTTCCTGGAATTGTATTTCGACCAAGAAGACTGAGACTTTCCCCGTCCAGGTCCTGTCAAAGCTGTGCAGCTATATCCCAATCAGGATCTTCATCGACCAATCAGAGTGGCTCCATTCTGACCAATCAGGACAGTGCCTTTTGGACCAATTAAACTTCGAGGATTTGCAGTCCTCGTTTACATGACGATGGACCAGTCGGGGACCAAGGTCGGGGCGTCTCTCTCAACAAGTCAGCCCCACCTTCCCTTTCCACGGAAGACTGTTCCCCTGGCTGGAGCTGAGACACGGAAGACGGGCACTGAAGACGTGTTGCTGGACCAGACAGGAGCAGGTGGAGCCGAGCAGAGCTGCCAGCAGGACGGGCCTCGCCCAGGGCCGCCTCGCAGCCCTGCGGCCGCACAGCCGCGCTGCTTCCTAACTTCTTCACGGCGCCCCAAATCAGGGATTCCTGTTGGCGTCAAGTTGGAGCCAACAGCTGTCGGTTGACAATGTCATTAAATGTTCATCTCATCAGGCGGCCTGGAGCCACGGGGGAGCCTGGGCTTTGGGGTCAGACTGACGGGCTTTGGGCTCTGGCTTTACCACAGTTCCTGTTGACCTTGGGCGACTCATTTCACCTCTGGGGGTCTTGGTGCCTTCATGCCTACATGGGGACCATGGGAATATCGTCCCCTGCTTGCTGCGTGCTCACCCCGAGTTCTTTCTTTACTATTCCAGGCATCAAGCCCACCCCCAACTCTGAGGCTAAAAATAATGGGACTACAAAGATCACGAAAGTCTTAGGAAACAGTAAGTGGGATTCTGCGTGGAGACACTGATACAAAGGTGAAGGTTACTTGGGGGCAGAAGAGGTAATTCTAGTGCGAGCTTTGTGGGGCATCAGGGCCGTGGACCTGGGCTCTCGTCGCGGTTCTGCCGTGGTGGGCGGTCTTGGCCGAGGTTTTCCCCTCGAGCTGTAGTGTTCTCATGTTGTGAGGCTGCTGTGGAGATTCGGGATGCAGAAACCTCCTGCCCCCCTGCCCCTCACACTCACAAATATTTGCTGGATGTTGAATGACGAGGTAGTAAGCATTTATGAAAGGGGGCTATCTCTCTGTGCCTCAATTTCTTTATCTGAAGAAGGAAATTGCCATTTTTGATTCTGTGTTCCTTGTGATTTAGGTAAACAGGTTTTTCCCTTTTGGGGGTTTGCTGTGTTCCAGGGACTAAACTTTCAGAAGGTAACTCTACAGCTTGGGCCGGCTCTGAGGCGCTCACAGAGGCTGCCAGACACCAGCGTTTGTTGGCAGGGCAGCCCAGCATGTCCTGCCCAGCGAGGTGCCGCCTGACCGGGGCGGGGGAGGGGGCTTCTCCGGGAGGACAGATGGCAGTCCTTGGCCTGACACTGACTCCTGAGCGAAAACCCGAGGGACACCTCCCTCCAGACAGGAGGAAACCCAGTTCTGTGCTCTGAGAGCCAAGGCTCCCATCCAAGGACACTCCTAAAATCGCGGCCACAGGAGGAGGCCCCGCCCAGGGAGCTAGCTGCTGCCGACATTCCTCCTCCTCTAAAAACGGCTTCTTCCTTTTGAAAACCCGACTCAAGCTTGTTCCAGGCAGCTTGGGAGCCGTGCCACCTGACCTCCCTTCACCTCACTGATGTCACCCTCTTATCCTCTCATTCTCCTTTCCTCCTCCCTTCTTGCGAGGAGAAAACCATTTGGCGCTGTCACCTGAAAGTGACAGGCGAAGTTCCTGAAAAGCCATGGGCTGTTCAGTTCCTGCTCCTCAGGGGGTTCCCGGAGCTTCGCTTCTCTCGACCTAGAATGGTATGTCCGGTAATGCACGGCCTCTGCACGAGTCCTGGGGGCCATGCTGTGTAAATGGGGTCTCCTGGGGCTGAGGGCAGCTGGAGCACCTGACACGGCCAGTGCCAGCATCTCACGTTGTCCTCACGACATCCTGCAGGACAGGTGTTGCTGCCCTCAGGCTGCAGGGAAGGGAGCTGCAGGGAAGGGAGCTGCTGCAGAATCGACCAGGCACAACACTGCAAGACCTGTGAGCGGCGAGCCAGCTTTGCTCTCTGTCGGCCCGACTCCCAGCTCACGCTGCCCATCACACCCCATCCTCCAGCGTTTAACTTTTAAAACCCAACTTCAGCCCCTCACCCACGGGCCATCTCCGATCATGTGTGTGCAAAAGGGCATGCCTGTGGAAAAGTAACTGCCAGCACGAGCCGTGGCAGATGTCCCATCTGGGAGACCTGGCGTCTGGTCGCCACGCTGCCACTCCAGCTGTGTGTGTGAACTTCGGAGTCACTGCCTGTCTGTGAAGTCACTGGCCTCAGCTTCGTCTGTTTGCCAAGAGAGCTGCCTGGCCTGAGTGATTTCCAGGGTGGTCCCATCCTGCTGAAGTCTTTGGGCCAAACAGCCTGATTTATTGATCCTGCTGTAGTGAGTTCCAGCTCACAGCTGGCTGGGGCGTAGCTGCCCACAGAAAAGAGTTGTGTGGTGTGTTTCTGGAAGGCTGGCCTGGCCGTAGCTGGAAAGCGTCGAGATTTTGAGATATGAGGTCCGCATGCCTCCACACTTGGTGCCTCCTGGGCCGCCTCAGCTGTGACATGGGGACAGCACAGCCATCGAGTGCAGCCTATGTCGGGAAAGTAGTGGGAGCGAACGGAGCAGCATGGCTGCTGGGGCCGCCTGGAGTGATCGGCCGGTCTGGTCCGAAGCGGTGGCCCCTGATCCTGAGCACAGCTGGGGACAGCTGAGGCTTCCTCCGTTTTATAGATAAGAAGACAGAAACTCAGCAAGTGTCATCATTAGGCCATGGTTCAAGAGCCTGGCTGGGAGCCCGGGCTGGCCTCCGCAAGCTGGGCACTCTGGGGCACAGGCAACGTTTGAGGTGGTGGCCCGGTGTTCAAGTTTAATGGTTACATTTTTTAATTTTGCAGTATGTTAAGAAAATATAACATACAAAACTTGCTGTTTCGTAGTTATTGCTCAGGAAGAATCTAAATATAAAAGTGAATTGATCTAAGGTCTCTTTAAGGAAAAGGGTTAAGTCAGCCCAGGTGAAATGGCAAAAATCATGAAGATGGAACCATCCCAAATGCCTGAGGGGTGGGGACACTGAGTCAGTTCCATGAGGACAGCAGGACGGGCGCCTCCTGAGCCTCCAGCACCATGTGTCCGGCTCAGGGCCCTCTGGAGTCTTGTGAATGGGGGGAGCCAGCTGCACAGAGAAGAGCTGCATGTCGACCCCCCCATCTGGCTGCCCGCACCTGTCCTCCTGTCCTGGCCTGAGGGGCGTAAGGCTGAGGGAGTGGCTGCGGTGTGTCCCTTAGGCCGGCGCAATGCATGTCTTTAATCTCTGGATCCAGTGTCTTCAGGGAGGGGTTCACTCTGCCATCCTTGGGGTTCCAGGCCCCTGTGTGCACTGGTGTACGGCCTGGCCTTCCCCAAGATAAAGCCCGGTCCTCAGTGGGGTCAGAGCCCAGAGCCCCCACTGCGTGCAGGGCTCCATGCCAGCCCACGGGGACCGGTCAGGACAGGCGCCGAAGACACGCCATGGCACAGCTTTTCAGGTCCTTTGGTGGCTCAGTGACTGCTTTGCGATGTTCAGACTGAGTAGAGTGACACGTGGTGCCTCGTGTCATTCTAGGAATGCAGGGGTTCCCGGTGTGAGCTCCTCTTGTCCTCCCCAAACCAGCTCCTCCTCCCCCGACACCCCTGTCTGGGTGCAGGCCGCCGGGCCCACCATCAGCCGTGACTTCGCTCTCTTCTCCCCACGGCCCAGCCTGCCCCCAAGGCGGCCTGTGTGACTTGCGTTGATTTTAGAATCTTGCCTCTTGTCGGCTCATAAATTCACCTCTCCCTGTGTCCCCACCTCCACGTCACTTCCTGGCTAATATTCTCACAGCACAGAGCTGCTGTCCAGTCCTGCCCGCAGCCGGCACTCCCTCCCCGGCACCCGCAGCCTGCCCGTGCGTGACAGGGCCCCAGGCCGCCCCCTACCCCGGCAATCCCCCCCATGGCTGTGTGCTCCCATCATGCTCTGGGCTTCCTGCAGCTTCTGCCCGCGTGGGTCACTGTCCCCAAGGCACCTGGGTCTCCCCCTCCTCTATTTGTATCCCAGGAACATGCTGGTGACCCCAAGGGGCAACTGGGGGGGTTCTGGGGGCCAGAGCATCCTGGGGTTACACCTGCTAACACACTTCCCAGGAACAGGCTGCTTTCTAGATTTTGCAGAATAAACTATAAATCAAACAATCATTGTTTTTATTTCTCTGGCAGCAGGTCTTAGCTTCTAGGGCACGTGGGAGGGGCCGTGTGACTGTGTTCCCCGAAGACCTTGGGCAGAGGTGATGGTGTGCGTCACCTCCGGCTGAGCTCGCCAAGTCCCAGGTACGTGGCCGTTCATCTGCCTGTCACCTGGCTGCATGATAGCGTCCAGTGGAGGTGACAGAAGGAGCCTGGGTCCTGAGTGACCGGTTTAGAAGACAGCTGCTCAGCAATAAGCATCCACTTCACATTTGTGTGAGAAGTCGCTCTAACTGTGCTCAGTTGCTGACATTCGGGGCTGTTACTGTGACTCTCAGCTCACCTGGCTCAGCCATCCTCTTCCTTAGAGTGAGATTCACGGGGTCCCCGGGGACAGCCCGTTGGTCACACACGTGAGAGCAGCACACGTGACACAAACCCCGGGGCCTGAATCCCCTGCTGTCACCACTGCTCAGGGACCCCCAGTGTCCTGCCTGCTCCAGGTCACCCCTGCTGGTCCCCTCCCCCGCTGCCTCCAGCCCCTCTGCTCGAGGGAGGCGTCCTGTCCTTGCCAAGCGCTCTGTGCCCTGAACACTTGTCCTCTCTGGTCCTTTGAGGGGAGGGCAGCACTGGGGCTCCTAGGACCAAGGAAGGGAACCAGCTGCGTGTCACCTGGCCACCCCCCTCTGCTCCCACATTCAGGCTCAGGCTCTGAAGAGGCCCCCTGGGAGCAGGCACCTAGCAGGCCCTGAGCATTCCCAGCTGTCCCAGGGCTCAGGGCTGGCTAGTCTGTGCTTCTGAGAGCACCTGGGGCACTTGTGTTGAAATGAATTTAGATATGCGCCATGTTTCATGATCTTTAAAACAAACAGGAAGCCCAAGCCCTCTGCCCATTGGGGTGCAGGTGGCTAGGGGTTCGTGGATGCCAGCAGGTCGCCACTACTCAGTGCGGCCACTTGAGGGCACCAGAGACGGCCTTGTGGCCCCGAGAGCAGAGCCCAGAGGGGAACCAGGCGGCCCGTCAGCTGTGCCGGGGAGCAGCGCCAGGGCTCAGGGGAGGCCCGTGGCCAGCAGCTGGGTTCCTGAAGTCAGGCCAGGACATGGAAGGCTGAGTGCCAGCTCCAGATGGCTGTGTGGCCTTTGAAAAGTCACTTAATGTCTCTGGGATTTTGTTTCCTTTATGTGGAAGGATGGGGTGGGAGGAGCTGACCCAAAAGGCGTCGTCTTTTCATGCTTTAAATTGCTCTAAACTATAAGGAAAAAAGGGAAATGAGAGAATGGCAGAGATTCTTGTGTCCTGGAACCTTTGAAAGTGTCCCTGAGGGCACAGACCTGAGTGCGACCAGGAGGAAGGACGGCAGGATGGCTGGGAGGGGGGTGACATCAGAGCCATGAATGACCCCAGAGAAAAACGAGGCTATGGAGATAGTGGGGTGGGAATGTCACAGGTCTTCCGACCCAGCGTCCCTGCCACCACAGGACCAGGCTCTGGCGGGACTGCGTGGCCTTCCTGCCGCTGTCCCGGCCTCCCAGTGGGTATGAGGTAGTGGCTCTGAGGTGCAGTGTGACAGTGTGACCCTGGCCTCCCAGAGGAGCCGGCACTGCTCACCAGCCCGTGAAACGTGGGCGCTGGTCTCCGGTGATCTGAGGCACGGCTGTCCCTGATGGTTCATTTCCACGTGAGCTGTGCGGGATATTTCGGTTCATGCCACCTCGTGTGGGCGTAGGGAGATGAAATGCATGTGTGGCATTGTCCCTGAACAAATGAATGAATGAATGAGCGAACAAATGAAGAAGCTCTGGGTGGGGCATCTGGGCTGTGAAGACAGTGCCGGCGTTTCTGACTCAGGCTCTGCTCATCCCAAGCGGATTCTAGCTCCTGAGCCAGGAGTGGTGGCCAGTCACTGAAGTCCTGTCCACTGTCCCAGGTGGTGCTCGTGTGGAGGTCGAACCCAGAGGCCAGGCAGCACAAAGGCCCTAACGAGCCTCAGTGGCAGTGGGGACAGTGGTCTCCTGTGCTGTGACCCTGTGAGCACAGAGGCTGCAGGAGGTCGTCCTGTCACAGCGTCCGGATTTCACGCTCTGTCTTGCAGGAGGTCACGTGGGACTTGTGTCAGCGCAGCGAGATGCAGGTGTGAGGAAGGCGGTGGGCATGGGGGCTTTGCCCTCCGTCCTGGGAAACCCCTGCCCCTCCCGGCAGGGACGCTGGGGGCACAGGTGCCTCGGTGTCCTGGGTGAGGTGAGCATGTCTGGTGGGCCATGTCCTCTGCTGGACAGCCCTTTCTGATCTGCTCGTGGAGAAAGGTGGTGCCCTGGTGCCAAGCTCAAGCACTGCCTCCAGGGAGCCTCCCGCCGGCACCTGTCCCCACTGCCATCCTGAGTGACTTCTCATCTGAGCCCCGTGGCATTGCTTTTGTGCCCTCGGAGGCACTTTTATCACTTTGCTTTGCCACCTGAATGCCCGTATCACCTTCTCAATGGATCAGCGAGTCCCTGAGAACAGTGATGGAACGGTTTAATCTATTTCTTGGTCCTGTTCAGGGCCGTTCTCAAGGCACCTGGTCAGCAACCAGGAGACGTCTGGTGAATGAAGGATAGCACATAGTAGGCGCTTGGGAAGTTCACACAGAGTGAAAGAGCGGCCATCTCCAACAGCCGGGACATGTGACAGCCCGTCCCCACCCTTGATGTTCAGATGGAAGCCAGTCACATAAGTTCTAAAACCTGTGGAAACTTCCATGGAAATTCCTGTAAAAGCTGCCTCGTGGTAGCATGTGACATGGTCTCAGGTATCTTTCCAAGCATTCTAATATCCCAAAGTGTGTCTCTTTTTGGCTGTTTAAGATCCCAAGTGGCCCCCAGAAGAACCCAAGTCTCATGAAGTAGAGCACGTGCATGGTGACACAGGACTGTCCCATTCCCATTAGGACATCCCATCACCCAGAACTTTCCTGCCCTCCCAGAAGGACCCTCTAGTTCCATGAGAAACCCAAACACCTCCTTTAAAGAAGTGTTACAATATCTTCAGAAACATGCTTTTTAAAAAACCGTTTAAAAATGTCCAGTTCAGCAGCATTAGGTGCGTTCACATGGTTGTGCAGCCATCCCCACCACCCATTTACAGAACGTTCTCATTGTCCCAAACGGACACGCTGTGCCACCAAACCCTCCTGCCCAGGCCCCTGGAGACCTCCAGGGCACTTCCCGTCTCCATGGCTCTGCCCCCTGGGCGCCCATAGCGACGAGGCCTTCATGCCCTGTGACGGCCCGGCGCCCCCAGGCTCCACATGTACCGTGACAGGTGTTGGAATCTCGCTTTTTAAGGCTGAATCACATTCCATTGTCTGTATGGACCACATTTGTTTGCCTATCACCTGTCTGTGACATGTAGTAGTTCTCACCTTTTGGCTGTTGGGAACAAGGGGCACAACACCAGGTAGAAATATGCTTTCTGTCATGCACTCGCTCTCACCCGGAAACCCAGCACCCCCGGTAACTGTCCACGCAGCAGGTTGCACTCACCAGAAAACTGCATCCCCACAGCGTGGCAAGCACTTTCCTTGGACTGTGTGGGGCCACACAATAGACAGTGACAGGGAACGAACGGCCCTCTCACAGATGGACATGCCACCAGGGGGCAGATGACCGGACGCCAGGAGCACTCTGGTGACCTGCCAGCACGTTAGTATGGACAATCAGATTTGCGTTAAGAAACCCCGCCCCTTCTCCACTGTTCTAGAAAGGTACGGACTTGAGGAACATTTGTTCTGAATTAAACTTGGCTGCAGTCGGTGTTATCCTGTGGCTGGAGCTCGGATTACAGGGGCTGCCCTGGGCCTATGAATGGCCGAGTGCGGCTGCTCAGACAGGTGGAAAATTCTGGGGCCCTGTGCACTGTTTCAGGAAAAATGCTCCAACTGGCGTGGAGAGGGGCCAGCTGGTGATGTCAAGGGATTTATAACAGAGATTTCAAGCCCTTTTAAGGAAACGAGGCAGTTGCTAATGAAACCGGCTAAAGCTGGGTCTGGAGGTGGCGACACTTAATTTGCTAGTTACCTTGAAATGCTTGTACTTCTTAAAAAAAACAACGCTGTGCCACTCCCTTTGTGTGTGGTTCAAAAGGCAACAGGAGGGTGTGTTGAGAAGAACCTGTTATGCTAATCAGTCTGGGGTAAGTGAAACTCAACCTGCCCAGTGCAGGGAGCCCAGAGTGGGTGATCCAGGACCTGGGTGGGACATTCGAGGCCAAGTACCCGGGGCGCACTGCACCTCTCTCCCTCCCTTCCTCCCTCCCTCCCTCCCTTCCTTCCTTCCTTCCTTCTTTTTATATTCTCTCTCTCTCTCTCTCTTGTTTTTATTTATTTATTTTTTAAGCACACTGGTGGGGGGCCTGAAGAGAGCTTTATTTAAAAAATTTTTTTAAACTAAAAAAATTTTTTTAAAAGATTTTATTGGGGAATTGGGGGGAGGAAAGCAGCATTGGGGAATCAGGGAAGGGGAACAGACAAGTTGCTGTCCTTTTGTTCTTGTCTAGTTGTGGAGGACGTCTCTTCACTGGCCCATGTTGGTATTATCATTGCGCTCTTCCCAGGTGAGGCAGTCGCTCGCTGGCCATTGGACGGCTGCTCATGGCGGCTGTCGGCCAGCCCCACTGCAGCCTACGCCGTCGCCAGCAACTCACAGCACCCCAGCTCCAGGTTGAGCTGTTGTTCACCATCTTAGCTGTAGAGGGTACAGTGTTACTGGCCCTCATGTGGGATCCGAACCAGGGTTCTGCTGCTTAGAGCTGGAGTCCCAAGCCAACTCCTAACCAACGCGCTACTCGGCTGGCCCGAGAGCTTTATTTTTTAAGCAGTTACAAAGCTGCTTAAAGGCTTTCCACCTCCAGAGAGAGTTTTGAAAATTGTTTACTTCTATTGCATTTCCACGTGTTTCCATCATCTTCACAACCCTCCCATCACATCGCCTTGGGAGTGTGGGCTTTATAAAGAGGAACCAAGGCCCATTGCTGTGACATACAAGCTGCGACATTACCAGCTGGGCTTACTGTGTGTTTGAAATAGGTAGGAAACGGAAATAGTCCCCGATTTAGGAATAGAAATCTTACGTTTGGAGGTGGGGAGTGAAGGCCCTAGAATTAGCTCTGAGCGGAGCAGCTAAGCTAGAGGGATTTCTCCACCAGGCTCTCTGTGCTATCACGGAACACCGAAACAGACAAGCAAGCCAGACAAAGGAGCAGGTAACTAACACTCCAATTGTCACCCAATGAGATGGCCCAAAGCTGAAGAGGGGTGGCAGCAGGATGGAAAGGCTCTGGAAGTGAGGGTGTGGAGGCGCTTTGGGACCATGACCCTGAGGCGTGGCTGGTGGCAGCATCATTGGGGCCATCACTCTGTGCAGGAAGGCAGACACTACTGGGGCGACCCTATGCCCCTAAGATGTGGGGTGTCTGAACGCTGCTTTGGAGTGAGAGGTTTTTCAATTGAAGCTTGACTAGCTGGGTCAGAGAAGTGTGTTTTCATTTTCTCTTTGGGGGGGTCACTTCTCAGTAAGGCGGTCATCTCCTCAGGCGTTGAAGACCCTCCTCCGCCCCACCTCCTGCTGGCCTGTCTGTCACCAGCTGGGCTCCAGGAGGCGCGTTGCATTGGGTGCGTTCTGTGAGCTTCTCTCTGTCCCCTGGAGACACTGCAGATGAAGGTCTCCACGGACCGTCCCCATGTCTTCTGCCTTCTCCTCTGTGTTCTTTATGAAGTCCTTTCCCCTGTTTCAAGGCACACTCCAGCCTCATGTCCTTGAAGCCTTTCCTGACCAAGCCAGTCTTGTCCGCCGCCCCCTACCCTCCCTGTGATACTCAGAGCTGGGCCTCTGGTTTTCATACTTGGAGCACACGTCACACTCTGCACTTCAAAGTGTCTTGTCTCATGACGGGTGTGGACCGCTCTTACTCCTGGGAGACTCTTAGAGCAGGAATGCTCGTTAAAAATGATTTCATTGACTTTGACCAAAAGGTTTTTGAGCAAAAGCTGTTGAATCCATAAGTATTTCTCACCTCGAATAGTAAGCAGGGCCAAGGAACTCAGCGGTTAACTTTAACTTGAAAAAGAACCTTCAGGATTAGAAAAGCAGGGGTGGTTATACCACTCAGAAGAGGTTCCTGGGAGTCCACATGAGAAACACGAGAAGGGGCATGAAACGCCGCAGAAACCCAGCCGTCTTTCTCAGTGCTGCATTCTGCAGACCTAGCTCCTTCTCCAGGGCTAATTCCCTACAATGTCCAAGAGGAGGAATTCATGGGGCAGCCTGCAGACCCTCTGAAACTGCACACCCTTCGGTGCTCGTTTCTTCTGGTGCGGGGAGGGGGGGGGCCGCCACAGAAGGACGCAGCTCCCCGCTCAGTTTACCCTCCTGCCTCTCTAACGCCGCCAGCTGTGGAGGGAAGCTTGCAACCCCAAAGGCCTTTCCGTCTGCAAGTGGATTGAAAGAGTATTCAATTTATGAAAACATAATATATGTAACTTTGTAGAAAGAAAGACTTACCTTTAAAACAGAAATAAAGGCCTCCATAGGAAATGCGGCCTGCCCTCAGTATGGGGGTGTACGTGTGTGGGAGGGGTGTCAATTTCAATTCAGGGGAAAAACATGTAGGTGAGCATCAGAATACGGAAAACCTTCTAGTACAATCTTCCTTATGGGGAGAACATCCCAAATATTGCTTCCGGCCAACTGAGCTCGGAGCAGAGACCATTAGTGGGAGAGGGTGCTCATACCTGTTTATGCAGAGAACTCTACTGCCGGCTTTTAATACGGGCTCATGACTCTGACTCTGTGTTCCCGGGAGTCACTGTCAGGTAGAGATGATGGTGGCATGAAAAAAGCCTTTGGTTTCTTCTGAGCTGTGTGTTACCTAAGGTGAGGGAATCATTACGGGTCGTTAACCTTTACTATTACTATTTATAAAGATTTTGTGACTTCTTCCGTGTGTGCCTCTGAACAGTATGGAGCGAGCTGGCACACCCTTCGTTCTTCGGTGGTTACACTCATGGCAGGATTCCTAGGACTTGTTGCTCTAACCTACAGACGTTACGTCCCTCTCAGCCTCGGTTTCCTCATCTGTGAAATGGCCACACTGACGGTACCTACCTCATACGGTCAGTGACACAACACACAGGAAGTACTCGGCGTAGTGAAGCAGGTATGTTCAAAAACGAATTCATTTTCTCAGTTTCAAATATGGACTAAGAATAAAATTTGCTGTCAACTAATTTATAACTCACTGTTGTGTGATGACGGAGTTAGGAGACCCAGTCTACGGTGATGACGGGCAAATTACTTAATTTTTCTGGGTTTCTGTTTCTTGCTCTTATAATGAAGGAGCTGGGTTAGTAACTTCCAGTTCTAAAGGCCTATGATTTAGGGTGTTTTTCACTTTATTTTTAAACAAAGTCTTAATAAGATTTAACATAGGAAGTATTGTACACTTTGGCAATTCATATTTTAATTAAATGAACCCCAGATTAAAATTGTCTTGTGCAAAGTTTAAAATACAGAAGGATATGGAAAGTGAAATATACATATCATTCACATTAAGAAAACTTGATTCATTTTTTTTCATAGATTTGAAAATGCTGTGGGTGGAACTCAATTATCAATTATATTTAAAGGTGCAAAAACAAGATTGGAATCACTGCTGTAGAAAAGGAAATTACTTTCGATGCCCATTGTGTCTGGAAGAAGAAGGGAGTTCCTGTCCCCACATGGCTGTGACGTTACAGGAGGGGAAGCCAAGCGGACAACAGGCCGCTCCTTTGGGGAACGTCATCTAACAGAGGTGGAATGAATATAGCTAAGCGACAACATGCACCTAAATAAAACATGGACCCAGAATTTGATATTTGCAACAAGAAGCCTGTCCTGGTGTTCCAGGCCATGAAGGAAACACTTCTGGACAGAATTGGATTCAAATTCTGGGCCTTTTCCTTTCTAACTGTGTGACCTTGGGCACGTTATGTAATGCTGCTGGGCTCAGTTCTTCAAAAAATGGGGGGCCGGCCAAGTGGCGCGATGGTTAAGAACTGGCTTGGGACGCCAGAGGGCCCCGGTTCGGATCCCACATATGAGGGCCAGTGACACTGCCCTTTACAGCTAAGATGCTGAACAACAGCTCAACCTGGAGCTGGGCTGCCATGAGTCGCCGGCGATGGCGTAGGCTGCAGCCCCTGTGGCAGTGGGTTGCCATGGGCTACCGTGTGTAGCCAGCAGCCAGCGTGAGCGGCCATCCAGAAGCCGGCGACTGATCTGCCTCGCCCGGGAAGAGTGCAATGATGGTGCCAACTTGGGCCAGTGAAACAACGTCCTCCACAACTAGACTGAAGAACAAAAGGACAGCAACTTGTCTGCTGCCCTTCCCCCAATTCCCCAGCGCTGTTCCCATCCCCCCAATTCCCTAATCAAAAAAATCTTAAAAAAAAAGTGGGGCTAGCCTTAGAGTTGTTGTGAATATGAAGGGAGAAAATACATGTAAGACTCTTAAGAACAGTGCCGGCCACAGAGAATATCAGCTATTATGATTCGACCCCGTAACCACTCATGGGCTATGTCCACCAGGCTATGAATGGTCTCTGTACTCAGAAGTACGATTGGGCCTCAGCTTTTGTGTCCGGTCTACCATGTGTTACAGCGTGAGATGTGAAACTCGGGCAGTCCAGTCCAGGGGGACCCACGTTAGTCTAGCAAGAGGCTGTTAGGAGTGAGAGGACTTCTTCCGTCCAGGCAGGAACATGAGATGTAAATGAAATCGTCGCTGACAGCCTTGCCTCCAAGTGTTCGGTTCCTGGGCCAGGTTTTCGGGAGAGCATCACGGTACATATTAAAGCCTCTGTGACACTCAGAGTCGAGCGTGCCTGATTAGGCTCTCGTGTCCTGTATTTATAAAAAGGTTAATGGTGTATTTCCCTGGTGTGACTTATTTTTGGCTCTTACTAATATTTATGAATACAATAAAATCCATACAGCATAATGCGTGAGGTTAATTTGTTCCAGTAATCCGCCTGCTTTTATTTAAGGAGAGATTCCAGAAGATGCCACCTCTTGACCAGTGATTTCAGCAGAGAGCAGGCAATACGCAGGAAAGGACAAGGTGAGAAATATAATCCTGGCGACAGTGCGTTCTTCCGGGAGGTTATCAGGGCCGTGGTGTGGGAAGGCGAGCCCTCGGCCAGTAATCTCATTGACGCTTCCCGCGACCCCAGTCTTGTCTATTCAACCAGCAGTGTCTGGGTCACAGGCGGCCTTGGCTGGATGCGTCCACAGGTCATCAAAAGCAGGTTCCAGGTGGTAGCCCTTTGGGCTCAGCTGGGCCTGGCTTTGGCACCGACTGGTTTGGTTGCTTTTTGGTGACTTTGGGGTAATACTAAACCTTATACATGGCAGCTATCCTGTACCTGTCCCCACGGGGTTTTGGCAGCTACTGGATATTTGGTCACTAACGCCTGTGGCCCCTTCATTTGCACACATGGCAGAAACTCTTGCTGCAAAGAGAGAAGAGAATGGCCTCTTCTTAACCGGCACGCTGCCAGCCACAGGCAGGAGCCTCCTGGGGGCCTTTCGTCCGCGCTGTCCTCGCGGGGGGAGCGACTCGCAGACAGGCGCGTGGGGTCCTCGTCCTCAGCCCCCCTTCCCGAAAGGCTGCTGGCTTTCACGCATCCCACCCCCACGGACCCACGCACGTCTGACGCCGCGCCCGTGACAGTCCACATTCGGGCAGCCTTGATTCCCCGGGGAAACGGGGCTCAGCGTGGACGATCCGGGCCGCTCTGGGCCGGGACTTGAACTTTCCTGGAGAAACACAGAACA